GGCACTCACGGTTCAGCACATTAGAATGGGCGGACTCACGGTTCCAACAGAGGTCAAGGGGGCGGGCACTCACGGTTCCAGCAGAGGTCGAGGGGGAGAGCACTCACGGTTCCAGCAGAGGTCGCGCACCAGCTCCTCCAGGAAGCCGGTATACAGAACGGACGACTCGAGCGAGCGCAGCTTCTCCACCAGCGCCGTCCGGTAGGCTTCGAACGACTCCTTGTCGGTGGGCGTGGCGTCCAGCGGCGAATCGGACGGTAGGTCGCTCTTGCTCACGCCTAGGGGCATTCAGCGAAATCAGTCACCAATCTGTAGACCACAAACTGGCGCTCTCTGCACACGGGATCATGCCGGATCCAGGCCATGTATCTGACGTCTGGCCGTTCACTGAGATTGGTGCAAAACGGCAACGTGACTGCGGATGTTACAATGCGTTTAACACATGATACTTGGCACTTGATCACGTCGAGGGGGGGGGGGGTCGTTTTTCCCCGAAAGCAAACATGTCATTCGGGACGACTGCCAAAATACCAGTTCTGAAAGGCGATCAGGCGCGTGGAGAAGCGTGGCCGTCCCTCGCTGGAACACGCACCTGACAAACTGCAGAGCCCTCTCGCCGTCGTCGCGCACATCCCAGTTAAACGAACGCACAAGACCGATTTCACGCTACATACAGAGCGATACCATTATCCCCAGCTCGGTAAGAACCGCTTCACGAAGACGTCAAGCTTGGTAATCACTGGTTTGGTTTGGAGTCGCATATGGTATCTATAATTCACATTGTGTTCGGCTCGCAAGTGGTTTGATTCAAGGTGGCAAGAAGAAAAGTGGCATGCGCGAAAAATCAAAGTTCCCAGTTGCTTGTGAAGCATGCCTCAAAGTTGTGAAGCTGGCAGGTCAACTGACAGCTTTATGACCTACAGTACTAGCTGATATAAGCTAGGGACTGCGCATGCGCCACCAAAGTTGCAACATCTTTCATTTCTTTGCGCAACTGTTACATATTTTCGAAGGGACTATCGCAGCGTGCCTAGTCACACAATATCCACATACCACGGGGCTTATCTCAGCTACGTATGGGCTGCAGTGCTTGTGAAAATATTTTTGACACATCCCGATTTTCAGGGGCATGACCGACAAAATAAGGGATCACACAACCTGGCAGATTCGTACGCATATGCACGTTTTCATTCATATTAAGAAAGAACGCAATAAGCAGCCATAGACCACCTAAAAATGACGTGAAAAGCATGAAATGCGTGCACATATATTTGAAATGTTATGGTTATATATTTAACATCCCAATATCCTATATGACCCAACGCAATGCTCTGCCTAGATCGAAAAATGCTTGTGACATACGAACAGTAACTCCATATATCTCCAAAAATCATCTGTCCGCGGTTATTCCATCTAAAATCGGTCAGCAATCAGTTGCCTTGAATCAGTTCACACCAAGGCGCACAAGCACACAACTAATTATCTCGGGGGCGATCAGACGCCGGTTCTGCGTGTCCAGCGACGTACCGAATGTCTCCATGGCAACCTCCAGGTCGGCGTCCTCCTGCATCTTGAGCGCGCGTGCCTTCTCGGCCAGACGCTCCTCCGGCGTCAGCTTTTTTGCCGCCTCCTCCTCCTCCCGCTTCCGCCGCTCCAGGTCCTCTCGTCGCTTCTCCTGTCGAACACGAGGGGACGGTGTCAGGGAGCGGTGTCAGGGGGCGGCGTCAGGGGCGGTGTCAGGGGACGAGGTCAGCGGGCGGGGTCGGGGAACGGGGTCAGGGACGGTGTCGGGCGACAGTGTCAGGGGACAGTGTCAGAGGACGGTGTCAAGGGACGAGGTCAGCGGACGGTGTTAGGGGACGTTGTCAGTGCACGGTGCCAGGGGACGGTGTCAGGGGACGGTGTCAGGGGACGAGGTCAGCGGCGGGTCGGGAACGGGGTCAGGGGACGGTGTCGGGGCAGTGTCAGGGGACGTGTCAGGGACGGTGTCAGAGGACGGTGTCAGGGACGGTGTCAGGGGACGAGGTCAGGGACGGTGTTAGGGGACGTTGTCAGTGCACGGTGCCAGGGGACGGTGTCAGGGGACGGTGTCAGGGACGAGGTCAGCGGACGGGATCGGGAACGGGGTCAGGGACGGTTTCGGGGCAGAGTGTCAGGGGACGTTGTCAGTGGACGGTGTCAGGGGACGGTGTCAAGGGACGAGGTCAGCGGACGGGGTCGGGGAACGGGGTCAGCGGACGGTGTCAGTGGACGACCCACTCACCAGGGCGCATCCCGTCCGCGTTGGGGCGCTACTAGGCTTCCAGCGTGTCTCATCAGCACACGACTAGACGTTCATAAATCACTAAATAAGAAACACACTCAACCAGGATGCCCACTCCAGCCCGTGAGTGTGAAACTACATTTTCCCTACCGCAGAAGAAACTGTGACTTTTGTTCCCACCAATCATCAAAGAGCAAGGCAATGTCTGGGTTGATGGCACACGATCATATCCAGGAAGCAAAGTCAACGGGGTATTCAACACGCTGGCCACCTCTGCATTACAAGGCATCCATGCGACCGACCCATCCCGGCATGAGCCTCAGTGAACCATTGCCGACCGGTCCGTCCGCATCGCCCCCAAGCCGGCCAATGTTAGGGGGAAGGGCATCGTGAAGACGGCTCACGATCATCGCTACTGGTTACCTCCTGGAATCACACTACAAGATAGACTGCACTTGCACTGAGCGTCGGGTCACAAACGCCCCTCATATTCTGAGAGCCTTGGGCCTATCCATGCAAGTCTGTACCGCTACTTCCGACGGAACAGTAAATGACAGAACGAAAGCGCCACATCGACCCGTTCCGTTCAGTTGCGTCTCTTGAACAGCAGCGAACCGTTTTGTGAACGGGCATGAATTTCATGGAGCGCGCACGTTCCCCACCAGTGACGCGCATCGCTGACGGCACGCACCTCCTTCTCAGCTATCCGCTCAGCCAGTGTCAGCTTCTTCTTCTTTGGCGCCTCCTCCACGACGGCGGCAGGCTTGTCCTCGTCGTCCGCCGCCTCCCAGTCATCCTGCGGTCATCAGTCATAGCATCAGCGGCGAATCAGACCGATCTGGTCCGACTCCGAAACACCCGGTGAGCCTCGAAACACGCCGGCCGCAGCGGAGATGAGACCAAAACCACCACTAAAAAGTCGAATGAAGTTCCAAACCAATAGGTGAAAACTGAGGCAATGATAAATGAACAGCAAATACAATCCCACACGACGCCAAATGGTGCCTATCGAACTTTCAGACCCGCATTATCTGACTAAGGCAATATGCATACGGCTATACAACAGCACAAAACGGACTTCCAGAAATCCCGTGGTGGCCGCCACAGTTTTGTAGCCTGTATCCTAGAAAACATTCACCCGCGTGCCGAATACGCCAGGTCAGAACATCACGCCACAATCTGCATGCAGTCGTCCCAGCTCAACTCAAAACACCGCTCCCTCCGACCGAAGAAACTCCTCCACCACTAGGCCAAGGACGTCGATGCCAATCCGGTGGTGGAGCTACGGTCCGGGGGCATGCGGGCGGCCCGCATACGGCCGGCCCTGCTGGCGGCGGCGGCCGGCGGCCCCAGATCGCCGGCGGCGCCCGTCGCGCGCGGCCATGTCCTGTTTGCCGGTGCCGCTGGACGCCGCCTCCGCCGCGGCCGTGGTGGCCGCCGCCGCCGCCGCGCTCCTGCTCAACCTCTGGACGGCCGGCTGGCTGCGGCGCGACGCGCAGGCGACGCCGGCGGCGGCCGCCTGCCTGCTGGAGGCGGCGGCAGCGGCGCTGCTGGCCGCCGCCGCCGCCGGCGCCACGCCGCTGCCAGCCGCGCTGGTCGTCTGCGGCGCCGCGCTGCTGCCCGTGCCGGCCGCCGCCCTCTCGCTGCTGGGTGGCGTGATGCTGGCGCGCTGGCCGGCGACGCCGCGCCGCCGCCGGCTGGCCGCCGCCGCAGTCACCGCCGCCGCGCTGCTGGCGCCGCTGGCCGTCAGCGTCGCCTTCACGCACCAGCAGTGGCGGACGGGCGCTGAGCAGGCTCCGGCGACCGCGCTGCCGCCGCCGGCACCGGCCGCCGAGACCGTGCCGGAGGGGACCGGACCTCGGGCGGCGGCGATGACGGAGATCAACCGGCGGCGACAGCAGCGCAGACCCAACGACAAGAGAAGCAGGTGGTTTGCAGACAATGTCGTCGGCACAGGCGAAGCCAATCACGTCGCAGAGAAGGCGCTGGCGCATGCGCGATCCATTCGAGGAGTGCGGAAGACCAACGGCGGCCTGCTCGCGATCACATCTCCAGCTATTAACAGGTCCACCACCAACCTGCCATTATCTGCGCTGCAGCCCCAGGGCACCCCGTTCCCGGCGTTGACGGCCACCGACGTGGCGCGCCTGAGAGACTACCTGCCAGGCCCGAAGCCGCCGGCCTTCGGTCGGCAGCTCTTGCCCTCCCTGCCACCAGCAGACACGCCGTTCGACCCCTCTGACGTGCTGAAGGACGTCTACTTCATCCACCTGCTGTACAAGTACGGCAGGAACATCTCCTCCCTGCACGGCGACCAGCCGCTGGCGCCCAACCGGGCAGTGGTGCGCCAATCCCTGCGCCTCATCCTCGATGCCGTCAACAGGTTCAACCGGCGCACGCACGCGGCCGTCTTCCGACCGGTGGCGCCGCACGACGGCGGGTTCGTGCACTTCCCCGAGGGCAGCTGGCGGCCGAGCGCGCCGCGGCCGCCGCTCGGCGGACCCATACCTGCCGCCCGCCCGGGTCACGCGGGAGTTGGAACAACGGGCGGGCCAGGCCAGGCGGGAGTTCGGCCGGCGGAAGGGCCAATTCAGCCGGCACAACGGCCCAGCAAGCCGGTGTACGAGGCGGGTGGACCAGGCTTTCGGCCAGGTGAGTTCATAGCGCGCGGCGCAGCCCAGTTTCTGAGCGAAAATACAAACATACTTGTCTCAATGGCGTCGTGTAAGCACACAAACCGGAAGCAAAGGCATTTCTCAATTGGGCCGTGTAAGCATACGAACTGGAAGGATAGGCAATTCCCAAATGCGTCATTTAAGTACACAAAAGGGAAACAAAACGATTTTCCTTATTCTCTTGATTTTGGAGTCGGGATAAATAAGACACTTCGAGGGGACCAAGTTCTGTATGGTGCCTGAGTTCAAAAGACGCAAATCAAAAGTTCGTACGCTGGTTCTTTCGTTTTATGCAATCATGCCCTGGGTCCAGGTTCACGAAAGTTGAGTTGACGCTGAGCTGGTTTGCAAGTCATGGCTGAGTTCAAAGGCGGTTCAATATGGTTCATTTCAAAACAGAGGTGGAAACAGCTGACTGAAACTGAGACCACGGCAGCTAAGTCAACACGCCCGTGTCACACCTGTGCAATCAATGCCAATACAGCATTCAATGATGAAGTGTACTGTCGCACCTAATGTACATCTAACTAGTCCGAAGACAAACAACCCCACACCTGTCAAGCGCTCGCGCAGACGGGGAGGGGGGAGGGGGATCGGGAGAACGGCGGCATCTGACCCGTCTCCGCCGCCCTTCAGAGGGCGACCAGTACACCAGCGGGCAACCAGAGCCCGTCCAGGAGCCGGCCCCACCTCTCCCAGACCCGGGGGTGCCGGACCACCTGTCCGCCGGCGACACCAGCAACGTCAGTGTCACCATCCGCATCCCTGGCGTGCTGGAGACGACGTCGGCCGAGCAGAGCGCCGACGCCGTGCTCGTCTGGCTGCGGCGGCTGCGGCGGCTGACGTCCGGCGGCCGGCGCCACAGCCTGCGCGCCGTGGCCGTCACGCTGGAGGCGGCCGCCGACGGCGCCGGCCTGCGGCTGCGACTGCAGGAGGACTGGCGCGTCTCGGCCCAGCTGAGCGTCGGAGGCCGGCCGGCCGACGACGCATCCGGGGGCCGGTGAGGCAGAAGCTGCGGACGGGGCGGAGGGAGGCGACGGCGAGGGAGGAGCAGCCAGTGCCGCACCCGAGGACGGAGCGGAGGGAGGCGTAGGCGAGGGGGGAGCCGGTGTCGGAGCCGAGGATGGAGCGGAGGGAGGCGTCGGCGAGGGAGGAGCCGATGTCGGAGCCGAGAACGGAGCGGAAGGAGGCGACGGCGAGGAGGGAGCCGGTGTCGGAGCCGAGGACGGAGCGGAGGGAGGCGTCGGCGAGGGAGGAGCTGGTGTCGGAGCCGAGAACGAGCGGAGGGCGTCGACGAGGGGCAGTCGGCGGAAGCAGCGGAAACAGCGACAGGACCGGACAACGGCGTCGAACACGCGATCGAGAGCACCACAGTCACCCCCGACGATGACGCAGATACTTCGGGTCCTCTTGGGACTTCGGGTGCCGGTGCAAGACGGGACGACCGCAAGCCTCACGAGAGCACACGACTCTGCCGTCACAGACATCGGCCACCCCGACAGGCGACAGCTCCGCAGACACCGAGCCAGCAGCGCCAGAAATCAGCCAAGACGGCAGCGACTGCCTCTACGGAAACAGCCGAAGCCACAGCCGGTTCGGACCTGTCCGTGCAACCGCCGGTTACCACCAATCCCGAGCCGGGCAACCAGTGACGTCAGCGGATCCCGAGTCCCACCCAGCCGAACCCAGCACGGCCCCAACCGTCGGGGAGCAGACCATCTCCCAGGCACTTGTCCCGGACGCCTCCACGCCTCACGCCGGCGGCCCGGACGTACCGACGCCCTCCCGCAGGCCCGCCGCCACCGCCGCCGGCGTCCGACGCTACCCCAACCGCTGCCGTCGCCCGCCGCCGGGGCGCCGGACGGGCTGGCCCTGCGTACGCCGCCTCCCAGCGCCTCATCACACGGACACCGGCCCGTCCCTGCGCCGGTCGCGCCGGCGCCGGCTGGGCGCTGGTTGCTGGCCACGGCGCTGCTGTGCGCCGTCGCCGCGCCGCTGGCCGGCCTGGCGCTGCTGTGGCGCGCGCCGGCCGACGGCGCCGCGCGCCGGCTGCGCGCCGGCACGCGCGCCTGCTGTGCGCGCTGCCGGCCACGGCAGCTGCCGCAGCTGGTCGGCCTGACGCTGCAGCTCGCCGGCGTGGCGCCGCTCGGCGGCCCGCTGCTGGCGCTGCTGTACGCCGTGGCGGTTGGCGTACGCGCCGGCGCGCGCGCTACGTGTGCTGCGCCAGGTGTACGGCCACGAGGCGGCGGGCTGGTGCCGGCCGCGCCGCGGCGTCTCGCCAGCCTGATGGCCGCACCGATGGCCGCCGAGGGCTGGCTCTGTCCCGCTGACTCTTCATGTCAATAGCATAAGCTGCGCGAGACGAGCGGCGTCGAGAGGTGGATGCGAAATGTAAGCGGAATGAGAGAAATCACTGAACAGTGTGTGGAACGGTATCCTGCGCGGGCAGAACGTCCTCGGGGACACAAACAGCTTGGTCCTAACAAGGATCCTTGACCCTTGCCATCACATGTGTTGATGGCAAGAATATGTGCACATATGTAAGATATGCACACATGTTTCATGTTCATGTTACCCGGAATTCAACTGGCCGATTTCCCAGCGATTTTCTTTTAAAATAGGCCCTACCATAGCATGATGGTCAAAAAGTTTTTTTTTAAAAACTGGACTGCTTGTATTTAAAACCTGACTGCTTGTGTAATTGGGCTTTTGCTTGTGAAATGCTTATGTCTGAAATAAATGAATGAACAACGGTAACTTCAATATGCAATTAGGTTTTCCTGTGGTTGTTTGCTATGGTTAAATCTTTGTAGCTGCATGTGAGTCAGAGCAACATGAAACTCTCTCAGTTCACTGTACTTAGGTTCATGTGCTTGAACTGCTTAACTTCCCAAGCATCACCATTTCAAGCTTGTAATCAAGCAAGCTGCCAAAAACCCAGGAGCCTGATATATTCCTTGCTTGTATCCAGTATAAGTTTTCAAGGTTTCAAAACTATAGGCTTGTTGTTACATACATGCATGGGAAAAGCACAGAATCATTGTACCAGCTTCCAAAACATATTTAGGCACTTAGTCCCAAAATCTTAATTGCATAGATTTTGAGGATCAGAGCGAACACTATGAAAAGGCTGTTGCATGATCCTGGATTCAGTTGCATAATGCCATTTCAGTCCACTGAGAGAATCCTGTGGCTGCTGTTTAGACCACTGAGCCTGCTGCACACATCTGACCTTGAGTGGCTGCTGCAAGCAGCTGGACTCTTCTGGCAAGCTGCCAATAGTGCACACCAAACCAACTAGAACTGTCCCACACAACCAATGGTAGTCTGGGAGGCAGACACTTTATGACAGGGGCAGGCTAAAGCTGTTAGCTTAGGTTGGGCTGAGGGCAGAGCAGGTATTTGAATGGCCATTTGCATGACTATTGACTGGCATTCTATTAGCTACAGGCTTTGGGCAATGGGTTCTGCCCACTGTCAACTCACTGGAGCATCTTCATCTTCATCCTCTCCTGCCCATTTGTCTGTGGTAGCCACACCAAATGTTTTGGGTTTGAAGTCCTCAGCATCTGCAAGATGTGACATAGTTAAAGAGAGCATATTGTGAGAGAGGCGTTCATTCTTAACAATCAGATATGAGCTCTTAGCTGATATAGCTTTCACCTACTGAAATCACAGCAACAACACCTCCAATTTCCTACTTCTTGTATGTAAAATGTATCTATCTATTACAGTACCTAACCATTACTGCACCATCATCTCAAACCAAATACTACTATCATCTGGGACCTACTTTAAATGTCTACCTTTATTGAACATCAGATAGCAAAACCAAAGCATACATGCAGGTTATGATGCCAAAGAAGATAAATTACTTAAAATGCTCAAAGCAACATTGGCAATGGAATAAACAGTGTGTTAGAAGACTGAATTTTACCATGAATAAACAGCAAGATACTTCTTTTAGGTAGGTTCTGCTTCCTTAATGACCCACAAAAGCATGCCATTGCCAAAATCCAGTGTGACATGCTCAGGTACAGCAAAAAGTGCTAAAATCTAGGATATTATGCCCAAATAAAATTGAGGCCAGACTGCAAAAAATACATATTAAGCTGAATAGGACAGGTATTGCAGCATACAAGCAATAATTGTAGAGCACACACACTGTTATCCACCTGCTCAGAATTCAATGCATGGTCACCACCAATATCAGTGCAGAGAACCCACATCTCAAGGAGTTATGTTGCAAAGGTAATTTTTAACAAAAATATCTCACTTGTCAACATTTTCCACACAAAATTATACTTAAAATTCAGCATGATTTGACCTGGTCTGAGTTGAACAAAAACAAGCAAGAGGTTTAGCACAAGTGTCACTAAGGTGTCTGGTACCGTGGATGGATTTTTTCAGCCTGGGCATGAATGTGACATGAGCAGCACCAATTCAGGAATGTTTACCCCAACATTCCAAAAGTATCCCACATTTAATGTTCACTCCCACATCCCAATGTGATTTGGCATGTGTCATATTTTGTGTGCTCACCCACTTATCTGGGAAGCATATTCTCACCATATGGAAATAGTGTAGAAAGATTATGACATTCAGATGTTAAGAAATATACCTTTAAGATCAAGTGTAATACTAATATGATATACATTCACTGAAACATCATGATGGAATGTAACTGGTTGAAACTGGACATACCAATAAAATGCCTCATGATGCTCAGTTCACAAGTTGAGCACATCCAGCAAATACACAAGGTGACCATCTCTCAATGACAATGGTTGCACAATCCCCAACCATCCCTTCCCCAGTAGTGAATTCATTGAATAATTGTTTGTTACAAGATGACAGGCCCGTGGATGGACTGTGAACATGTCATGACCTATTAGACGAGCCTACTCCTTACCCCATTCGTCGTCCGACATTTTGAAGCTGTAGAACTTGAAACTTGAATGGGGCCAAATCCAATTGGATACGATCGCCAAGCCTTGTCGACGTAAATGACACTGGTAGCTAAGCCTCCCACCGAACACCGTACGTCACTAAAGAACGAGGAGGTGAATCACACTTTCTATTCACCCAGCATGGAACCACGCACCGGGCTCTGGAAACATGTATCATGTGAGTCACCTCGAGGTTTCGCGCCAGATTTGCCGCGACATGGGGCACAGATAGTGAATAACTATTACATCATATCGTCTTTTCTTACCCTTTTCACAAATAATTTTTTTAGAAAGATGTAATATTGCATTCCTGAGCGAAATTACAATGATATGGTTCCATAGCTCAGATAATTTCCAAATGGCCTGCAGCCAAATAGCATTACTATTTTTCAGCTGTAGAGATGGCCATTATGATGGCCATACTTTACAAGGTTGATGCCAAATGCATTCAAATCATAATATTCTCGTATATTGTCTAACGAAAATTGGACAGGATGTTCAAAATTAATATTAAAAATACATTTTAACTTTTTTAAAGTTGAAAACCCACATTACTTTATCCGTTTCTTCAGCAAAAAACCCCATATTACAAAGTATGACGAAAAATGTCCACACCTATCAATATTGTTACAATAATGAATTGCAAAATACTTTTCTGGCGCACTTATCCGCTCAGCCGCGTGCCTGGCCCCTCTAGCTTTCATCACTGCGCAGGCCGCGTAGAATTAGGGCCGCTTTTTTGCAATTACAATACTTGACAAAGTTCAGTCTGACTTGGATTGAATTGAGGACTTCATCTGTGCTGTAAAATGGCAAGTTCGGTTTTTAGGACGTTGGTAAGGAATGGGTTGGGGTTTCGAAACCATTGCTGGATGTTTGAGACATGGCATGAAAATATAAGTAATGAAATGAGTCAAAGTTCTGTTGCCTGCTGCACTTTTAATGGAACTGATTTTGAATCCCAATCACAATGAATTAAACTGAATCCAAAATTGTGCAAAATGACTTTTTGAAGCTCAAGCAACACATTAAAAAATGTTCAATCTGTCTTTTCAAGGTCTCTAAGCCTGGGTCCAGTCTTCAGAGCATGACAGATATTGATGAGTGCTTGTTGGGGCGGGTGAGGTTGAGGTGCATTATTTTTTGTAGTTTCCTAAATTTTGGGGCAGGATCTCCTTTATTACAATAGCACACATTATTTTGAGGAAGGTTATGGCACCTCAGAGCAGGTATCAAGCTCAGACAGAGTTTGGGCAGAAGCAGAAAATGTGCAGTGCTGCTGGCACAACATATATGCTGGCACAATAATCCACAAGTGGGATGCCTGAGTATTTGGCTGGGTCAGTTATTTTATTATAGGAAGTTTAAAGATTTGTAATTATCTACCATTTTGTTGGCTAACCATAGCAACCAATAAATTCTACCAATTTTGGTGGGTCAAGTGAAAAAAATGGAGCAGGTGGCAGGACCTGAAGTCCATGGCCTCTCAGTTTTCATACAAGTTAGATATAAATCCTATGACAATACATATGTGCCATCATTATCAGGAAGCAGAAAAAGTTTGGTTCTCCCACCTTCTGAGTCACCCCCATACCATTAAGGGTTTTACTGCAACCATAGCCAGAGAGGTAATGCAGAAGGCATGCAAATTAGATCATCAGGAGCATGTTGGAGACCACACCTTCACCAGCATGGCCCCAACATCCCCAGCCCTAAGCATCTCAAGGATCTTGTAGGCTGCCTGTAACCTTTTGCAAACCGGCAGTAATGCACCCAGGAGAGATCTGAGGGCTCGCCTAGCCTGCCTCCATACAACCAGTAAATGTTTGTATCATGACACTAGTGCTAGAGCAATAGCTACTACCAAGAGAAGTGCTATATGCCAGTTATGCAAAACATTACTTCTTACATAAAAAAACTTGCACTGACTTAACTTAGGCACAACATTACTTGTACTGCTAAGAATTATGCACAACATGTGTGCTACACAACAAAATTTATATTTCACACACATCATTGCACCTTCTTAAAAACTTACACCGTCTTTTATCATGCATAACATAACCTCTACCATGAAAACTTGTGCACAGCATGAGCCCTGCACAAATAAAATAATGCTTCAAAAATTAATGCTCTTCATTACTTGCAAGCAAATGCATATATAGCCATTGCTTATATGTAATGCTGCTTGTGCTGAAAAACTTAGACACAACATTAATAATAACATGGCAAAGCTTATACTGCAAAAACATGTACCAGTCATTAATTATCTGGTAAAGACTTGACCAAAAGTCTTTGCTGTATCACTTATGTTTCACATAAGTCATTGCAATGGAAGAAAATTTGTGTTTAAGTAATAACTGATATGCCTTTGCACTTAATGTAGGAGTTTTTGTTGTAGCACATGAAACCCTCTCACCCAGTTGATGCATTCAGTTACAGGAAGCAAAAGTGGGGAATCTAACTGAAGTGGTGGCATTTCTAAGCATGGATAAAAGAGGATGATTACACACACACACACACACAAACACGCACACACGCACACACGCACGCACGCACGCACGCACGCACGCACGCACGCACGCACGCACGCACGCACATATGCATATATATATATATATATATATATATATATATATATATATATATATATATATATATATATATTTCAAGATATCTTTTGGTACAGAGAACACAAATGAAGCATGACAAAATGAAGTAAGACAGAACTGTATTTCCACTTTGATACACATAAGACACACCTGTGATGGGAACACTACAAAGACACAATGAGAGCACTATTGCCATAATCACATGAATAGTGCTCACCGCCTACCACCTAATAGTTCAAGTGATGTGCAATAATTTATTTGTCTGTTTAGGGCCACAGAGAGTTTGTTGGTGAATACTTTCCCAAATTTGAAGGTGTCTTCTATCATTGCATGTTCGTAAAATATCGGTGTTGTCTGTCAGTTGTTGTCATGTCAATGTCCTGTCGTTTCATGTCGCATGTGATCCAGAGGTGCCCCGTCATGTATGTGCATTGTCAGGCGTCGAAAGAGTGTCGTTATGGTCACACGGATATAGTGTATGGAACAAAGTTTGCAGCATTCGATGTTGCATTTGAAATGACAGACTACATTGGCGCATTTTAGTTTGTCGGGTTTGCCTGGGCTGTTTCTCGTAGGAAAAGTATTTTGACATTACAATAATGAATGATGATGTCTGTTTTGTGGTCGTTTTTGCCTTCAACATGTTGACAGGTCAGGCCTTTAACATGTCAACAATTCCCGTAAAGCTTTTTCGTCTGGTTTGTGGGCATATGTCATTTGATCGTGATAATACAGTTTGACGGTTGGCTGGATATCTTGTCTTGGTCTATTTCGTATTCAACGTCAGAATTTGAAAAAAACCGTTGTTCACCAAGATCTGTCGGATTCTTATAAATTCTGAATGCAGTCCTGTCCAATCAGGGCAGTGTTTAAATGCACGTTTAATGAAGGACCTTATGACGCTAATTTTGTAGCGTCGAGGACACTCACTGTCAGCATTTAAGCACCGTCCGTTGTTAGTCTGTTTTCGGTATACATTGGTTTGAAATCGCTGTTCTTGTCCACCAACAATCGCGTGGAAAAGGGTGTTATGTTTTGCACACTAAGTTTTTTTTAAAAATTTGGGACCAGACTGCTCTTCAAAGGTGTTTTTGAGACGTCCTAGTTCGTTGATGTCTGTAACTTTCACAAAGATGTCGTTTACATAGCGGCAGCAAATGCCCGGTCTTATGTCGTCATTTTGTGGTTTGTCAGGTCTTACATGTCCCGTAAAGAAATTAGTGAATAAAGGTCCTAGAGGCGAGCCCATCGCAACACCCCCAATTTGGTAATGCACTCGTTTGTCAGGCCCGCGGCAAGGAACTTCCAACGTACAGGCTTGTAGTTATTGTTCAAGAAGGCATTTTGATATTTTGAGAGGAGGAATTTCGGGATGATTGTAAACGCGGTCAAGGTTGATAGATGTGATTCTTTCAATGGGCACGTACGTTTGTAAATGAACTGAAATGTAAAATACTTGAACTATTAGGTGTTGGGCAGTGAGCACTATTGATGTGATTGTGGCAATACTGCTCTCACTGTGTCTTTGCAATGTCTCATTATGAGTGTATCTTATATGTATCGAAGTGAAAATAGGATTCTGTCTTACTTTAATTAGTCATGCTTCATTTGTGTTCTCCATACCAAAAGATGTTTTCCAACAGCAGTGCACAACTTTTATCCATTAAAACATGAATATATATATATATATATATATATATATATATATATATATATATATAGCAGGGGCTTCATTGCCTGTGATCTTCTGAGATGCACTTTCAGCCTTGTGCATCAACTGCTTCCTTCCTGGGTTGTGCTTATTCAGAACTGGAGCAAAACTCAGTTCAAGAATGGGCCAAAAGAAACACTTTCCTGTCTTTTTTCTTGTATTAAGTCAAGATTTGGTCACTTTTGATTTCAAGATTTAAAATATGCAGACACACTAACATGCATACATACATACATACATACATACATACATACATACATACATACATACATACATACATACATACATACATACATACATACATACATACATACATACATACATACATACATACATACATACATGCATGCATGCATACATACATACATACATACATACATACATGCATACATGCATACACACATACATATATACATACATACATACATGCATGCATGCATACATACTTAGCTTCAATGGTCAGAACAGGCAAGCCTGAAGCCCAGTTCAAATGCATCTTGCTCCCACATGATGAAGTCTCCCAATCTTTCATTGACCTGTGTCCCAGTCTGCAAAAGGTGCCAGTCAGCAAAATATTTGGGATGGTCCAGTCCTGTCCCAAATGGGGCAACCGAACTTATGATGTCGTGGCAGGGAGGTCTCCAAAAGTTTCCTGACGATCTGATGTATATTTTCCATTTACTGGTAACCTTTCCTGCTGTTCTGATTGAGATGGATCAGAATTGTGCATACCATCCAACATTTTGCACTGCATGGTAATTTTACTTTATTTACAGCACTGAATAACGCATCAAACATTTTGCAATGCGAACAATAAAAGTGTTGCGGTTCAGCGCACGGTTGGGTACCGCTGGTTTACGTGTTCAGCGCAAGCAGCGGGAGCTGGCGCGAGCGTTTTGCTGACATTTGGTTCCACTGACAGCCTGCAGATGTCCGGTTTCACCCAGTTACGTCCTGGCACCAGTCACATGATAATGATGCATCCTTATATCACCTCACTCGCACCACCCCACATCAGGTGTTGCACAGGATCATCAAGGTAAAAATAATCACATCTTGGCCATTTTATTCCGTCAATTCTTCCCAGCTCTGTACAGGCCATGTTCGTGTGTTCATGGGTGTACTGTCACCAGATAATCTGTGCATGAATGGCGCCACACCCCCGGTCGTGTTTCAGACGGCGCCCCTGCGCCACGCTGGCCGCCGTCAGCTGTCTACGGCCAAGCGGACCGTCACGCTGATCCCGGGCGACGGCATCGGGCCGGAGATCAGCTCCGCCGTCCAGCAGATATTCGCCTCGGCCGGGGTCAGTGCGCCTGCGGCCAGCTGGCGCCGCCGGCTGGGATGCAGTTCTCCACGGCGGGAGCCAGTGACGGGCCGGTCTTTAGTTTGATGCCTGTCTCAGCACAGTGCTGGTGCTCAGCACAGTGCTCGTGCTGCACCGAAGGGCACATCGATGTCGTGACTGCTGTGCCCGTTCCTCGGCCACGACTGAAACAATGGCGTGTGTTAACGCAGACCGCCGTCTCCCACCGGCCGACCGCTGGCACGGCGCGGGCGCGTGCGGCCCGACCGACCCGTCCCGTGACACGTCCGCTCGCCCGCTCCCAGGTGCCGGTGGACTGGGAGTCGGTGGACGTGACGCCGGTCCGCGGTCCAGACGGCATCTTCGGCATCCCCCAGTCGGCAATCGACTCGGTCAACAAGAACAAGATCGGCCTGAAGGGGCCGCTGATGACACCCGTCGGCAAGGGGCACAGGTCGCTGAACCTGGCTCTGCGCAAGTGAGTGCCACGATGGCGGCACGCACGCGTCCGCATTGCCCGCTTTTGTTCGGGCGGTGCCATGGTTTTCTGGTTCGTGTCATGGTACAGCGCTACCGCGTGGTTGCCGAGACTGCAGTGCTGTTTGAAGGTGGAAGCGCAGCATTCAGCTGTTCTCGCTTGGCTTGTGTCGTGCGCGTCGACATCCATCGAACTCATCGTTAACCGGCCGCCTGACCCCTCCCCTCGCCCCCAGGGAGTTTAACCTGTACGCGAATGTACGCCCGTGCCGCTCCATCGACGGCTACGAGACGCTGTACAAGGACGTGGATTTGGTCACCATCCGAGAGAACACTGAGGGCGAGTACTCGGGCATCGAGCACGAGATCGTGCCGGGCGTGGTCCAGAGCATCAAGCTAATCACCGAGCCCGCCTCCATGCGCGTCGCAGAGTTCGCCTTCAACTACGCCAAGGCCAACGGCCGCAGCAAGGTCACGGCTGTCCACAAGGCCAACATCATGTGAGTCCTCCATCCGCCTGTGGAAAATACCGCGCTCGCTTTTTCAGGTCGGGTTCAGCGTTAGCACATACCGCGTAGGGCACAGGTCGCGTAGGGCAAACCTCGTGCGTTAGATGAAGAAATATTGTCATCGCGCTCACGCTTGTAGCGCAGTGCGCTCGCAGACTTGCGCACGCGCGTGTCCGTTCGCCTCGACTGACCTGCCGTCGTTGACGCGACCTACAACCCACCCCTCCCCCTCCCTCCCCCGTCAGGCGCCTGTCGGATGGCACGTTCCTGAACTGCTGCCGGGTGGTGGCCGAACAGAACCCGGACATTAAGTTCGAGGAGCGCTACCTGGACACGGTGTGCCTCAACATGGTGCAGGACCCGTCGCAGTACGACGTGCTCGTCATGCCCAACCTGTACGGCGACATCCTGTCCGACCTGTGCGCGGGCCTGGTCGGAGGACTGGGCGTCACGCCCAGCGGCAACGTCGGCATGGGTGGCGCCATCTTTGAGTCGGTGAGTGAAGCTTGAATTGCAAGTGCTGCCGCCGGCCGGGTCGTGTGCGAAAGGTGAATGAGTTGTCGGCGAAACATATGGATGAGGGGGTGGATGCCGTCGCCGTGCAAACATGCGCACGCGTCGCAAAATTTTGAATCTCTTACTTTGCTTCCACAGCTGATTGTATTCTACATTTAGGAATGCCATCAGTTTTCATGTCCATTTTAGGGCAAAGCTTAAGGCATGCTCTACCGCAATCCGCGTGAGCTTTGGAAGTCAATCAGACACTGGAGGGACCTCCCTTTGGCCTGCGTCGGACATTTGGTTAAGTTAGCCTCATTGGTAGCTAGGTGGAGCTCGTGGAGGGACGATCCTTACTCGCGAGATCGAGCTCCGCCGGGAGAGCGAGGTTGCGACCGCGTTGTAATTGGCAGAACGCTGGGCTGCCCAGTCGGATCGGTTGCTTGAGGGACAGTAAGTGGTGATTAAGCTTTTGTAAGCGCAGACGACAGAATATAACAAGCATTCCTTAGCACCGCGCATGCTGGCCAGAATTGCCTTTCCTGGCGTCATTCCGCACCGGTTAAAGCACACCACGCGGCATGGCTGGCGATAGCGATTGGGACGTCACCTTGTGGGCCATCAGCGAAACTGAAATGCGGCGACAGCCCGCGTGATCGCCCCAGTAGCGGCTATGCCCCGTGAACCTGGCGCGATCCATTAGGCGGAATGATCCGTTTGGACGTGTGAGGTACCCGGACGCGCCGGCCGCTGTTAATGGGGTTTTGTAGAACGCCTCCATTCGGATATTAGCACTGGGACGTGAGGGGCTCGGGGTCCTGCTTTCCAGACACCACACTTCGCTAATTAAATGTTCCGAAGAACACCGCACGACAAATGCGACGCATTTGTTGCACGCCTCGTCGGAATTCGACGGCGGACGCTCCGGGCAGAATCACCATCAGCTCCGTGCGAAATGGGCGGCATGCGCTGCGCCACATTCGTCGGCTGCCGGCTGAGGTGGCCACCATGCGCGGGCGGGGCGCGAGACGCCGCCGGCCCGGTCCGCGCCCGTCCGGCCCCCCGCCGGTCGGCAATCGACCATTGCAGGGCAGCGAGCCCGCCGGCGGCGATCAATAGCCGTGCACGTGGTCACGACCGGCCCAAGTCTGCTCGCCGTCTGTAGATCGGCCGGCGACGGTCCGCTCTCGAGCGTGCCGACCGTGCGGGAGGTGCATGCCGAGCGCGCGCGCGCGATGGGGCGCTCTCCGTGGGACCGGTTCGACGTCTACCGACGCTCGGCGTTTCGGCGTTTCGCCTTCTTCACCGGCCTGTGGGGCGTCTGGTGCGAATTTGGCCACGCACGACCCAATCCCCCCAATGCGTAGGTGATATACTGTAGCGAAGAAGAAGGAAGGCGGTCAACAGCTTTGGCCCGGGTCAGTTTGCGCCGTCTTGCGCGGTTGACCTGTGCGGATGGTCCAGCCAGGTCAAGTCACGTTTTCCCCGTGTGTGCGAAGCTTTGCATGTGTCCGCGGAAGAGAGCTGGTACAAGTCAAGTTACTCCACTGTTAACCTCCACGGGTAGTATGAGGTCACCCGAGGTCATCCCATGACCTCCCTTGGCCCTGAAACCGCAGGATCTTGCATCCGCGATCTTCACGTTCAGTGATGATAATGTTACGGTGTGGAGGTGTACCATTAAAGCCCCTTTACTTTTGAATTGAAGACTGGGTTACACAAATACGTCGCGGATTGTCGTTTTTCAGCACTTGCTGCGCTGAATTTTGAAAACGTGGAAACGTAATCAAGAGATTCTGGATCAATAGTTCCTGCCGAATTTGCGAAGACGGAGTCGGCGCTGGCGCCACGAAACTTTTTGTAGGGCAGGCAGGCTAGTGCTCGTAGTTGGCCTCCGGCTTAAAGAATCCCAGTGCAAATGGTCCTTAGTATGGCCCTAGCTGCTTTATGATATGCTACCCAATCATGTCCGGATGCTTCCTGGTAACATCGACCAAGCCAAGCTCGTCATCTGTTTCATCTGTTTTTATGTCAAAATCGTCCGTCAATCCTCTTAAGCACTGAACAGCCGAGTTTGCTTTCGGACATGAACGTGAAAACACTGTCAAGTGCGTGACAGATTTTGCGATTTCTTAAACACCACGTTAGCGCTCATAAGTTCAACGAAACATTGCAAATCGTCTGCACCTCTGAGTCCCGGGTGACCCGGGTGCCTCCTCTCGGTTACAGCCAGTGCTTGCGTTCAGTCACGACTTGGCCAGCCCCGAAATATGAAGTGTTCCTCCTCTTAGTCCGAAGAGGTCCCACCGCGTTTTTGCCTAGTGAACTGTACTTAAATGGATCCTTCACCCTGTGTTTTTTTGGAACACTTGGCGGGAATCTGCCACCGCGATCCAGTCGGAAAAGTACTACACACAGACACTACTACACACTACGTACACGTATACTATATACACACGCACACATACACACGCACACGCACATGCACACGCACGCACGCACACACAGCACGCACGCATCGCACGCACGCACGCACGCACGCACGCACGCACGCACGCACGCACGCACACACACACACACGCACGCACGCACGCACGCACGCACTACGCCGCGCGCGCGCGCACGCACGCACCCACACGCACACGCACACGCACACACGCACACGCGCACACACCACACACACACACACACACACACACACACACACACACACACACACACACACACACACACACACACACACACACACACACACACACACACACACACACACACACACACACACACACACACACACACACCACACACACACACACACACACACACACACACACATACTGCCAGCAAGGCTCTAAAAAGCACGTCGCGAGGCACACAGATGTGTCACACTCTGCCAGATGTGTTGAGGGTCTCTGCCAGATGTGTTTTCATCCCCGCTCCAAAGCTTATTAAATAGTACGACGCGCATTACCATATCAGGCATCACGCGTCGAAAACTTATCAGCCGGTGGCAGTCACGCTGCCCGTGACCTTTATAATCCTCTCAATTGAAGGTCGTCACGTTCTCGCCTACCTGCTTTTATTCATAGTTCAAACTAGTATATCAGCCATTCCACCCGGATGGGGGGTCAGACCTGTGAGTTTCGGTTTTGGTTGCGGACCTGCTGGATGACAGTTGGTGGCCAGGCCAACTTTAGGCCAGGCGTCACAGTAAAAACGGCGTCATTACTTCGCAAGCATTGTTCCGGCCGGAGGTTACCAAGTTGCTAATCTCAGACGTAAGTCTCCGTAAGTGATATTCTTTATGTTGACGTCGATTCATGTAACGCCCGCGGTCAATGCGAATAGTTGACTCTGCGAAAGGCCACGCGCTGGGCTGTCCCATCCGACGCTCGATCCCCACGTTGGATGAGACTACTGAGGCGGTGCTGCGTACCCTGGGATTGGAGGCGCCACGTGCGGTGCTCTGATCCCACTGTGACCTGACCTTGCAGAAACCTGACCTGCCTCGACCTAATCCGACCTGCCGCAGCCGGACCCGGCCCTCCATGACCCGGCTTGACCTGACCTGCCGCGGGACGATCAGACATGCTGCGGCGCGTCAAGCGTCGGCGCCCCCCCCCCCCCCTGACCCGCCTTGCCCCGGGCCCGCCAGGTGCACGGCACGGCGCCGGACATCGCTGGCCAGGACCTGGCCAACCCGACGGCGCTGCTCCTCTCGGCCGTCATGATGCTCAGACACATGGAGCTGACCGACCTCGGCGACCGCATCGAGACGGCCTGCTTCGACGTCATCCGAGAGGGCCGCTACCGCACCGGCGACCTGGGCGGCTCGGCCAAGTGCTCCGAGTTCACCAACGCCATCTGCGACAAGCTGTAGGAAGCGCGACTGCCGGTGTCGCCCGCAGGCGGCGCCGTAGTGCTGCAGGTAGCAACCCGCGTGAAGACAGATCAACTCAGTGCAATTCAGTCAGTCTCCCGTCGCAACAGTGGCCACGTCTCCACGGCTTAGGACAGTTCGCCGTCTGACCGTTGCCGCGCCACTCCCCATGCGGTCGCTCGCCGCGCTATTTATTACGGCGTTTCGCGCGGCTGGCCCGAGATGACGCCGTTGCTCGGTTTTACTCCTCCCCATCCTCCACCCCACCTCCCCCACCCCCCACTCAGCGAGCCGGCAGTCTGGGAGGGTGACACCGGCGACGCGCGGGGTGCCTTCGGCCAGCCGCGCCAGCTCGTGGAGGCCGGAGGTCTGCCGCCGCCGCCGCCGCCGCCACCACCGCCACCACCGGCGTCTGCATAGTGCAATCTATTTAGTCAACACTCGGGCTGTTGTCGGTGTCAACAGGAGGCGAGCGGAATTGCGCTCATCTGGAGAGCGCGCCGACGGTGTCGGCGTCAGGCAGCCGCCGGGAGCCCATCTCCTCCCCCCCCCCCCGTCCCCGTCACCTCGTCGGTCGGCCTGCCGGGCCGTCTATCGTGCCGGCTGGGCCGGCGCCGCGCCGCCTCTCTCACCCGGCCGATTGTTTCGCCCAGTGCTCCGTCTCCGGCCGCCGGCGGCCTCATGGCTGGCGCGCGCGGACCGAGCGGCCCGGCTGGCCGGCCGCCGCGCCACGGGCACGGAGGCGGCAGGACACCGAATGTCGTATCGCCGTCACTGCAGTGGCAGACGGGATCCCCTCCTTGTCTCTGTCATATTTTCTTTTATATTATCTATATATATATATATATATATATATATATATATATATATATATATATAACTCGCTCTCTCCCTCTCTCTCTCTCTCTCTCTCGCTCTCGCCTCTAGCTTTCGCTCTCTGTCTTGCACTCCCGTCTTTTCTTGCCTGTTATCGTCCTTCTCCTTTTTCCTCGCCTTTCATCTATTTCCGCTCTCTCGTTCTCCTCTCCTCTCCCTCTCCTCGCCATTCCCGCATTTCTTGTTCATCTGTGTTCGCCTCCACACCCAGCGTCTGGCGTTGTCTGATTCCATCAAGCAGTATTTGTTGAGCTCGACTGGTCTCTGTTCGCGCCGTTTTCGGCCATCCCGCGCGCCGTCCGCCGTCGTATTGGCGCGGTTTTCAGCGCGCGCTCCCACCATATGTGGGCGTCGGCCGGCTGTCGCCTGGCGTGTGGTGCGTGTGAGGACTGCTCTGTGACCACGGTCACGCCTCGGCAGTGCGCGCTCGTGTGCCCGGTGGTTGTTACGTGGACGGTGTGAATACACTGCGTTCGTGGGAGGACTGCGTCTTGGAGGTCGCTACCGGCGAACGGCACGGGATGCCCGGCCGGCCGATACTAACCCTGGTGCTGAACGCGCTCCGTGGCAGCAACACGCGATAGGCGAGGCGTCTGCCGCGCCCGAACCGGCTGGAGGGGAGGGGGGGGGGGGGAGATCGCGTCGTTCCGGAGAACATGTGCCAGATCTTTGGAGGTGATCCGCGGCCGGTGCACGTACTCGCATACTGATGAGCGCGGCGCGGCGGATGGCTCGTTGGTTCTCAGGCTCGCGTGGCTCTGCTTTTAGATCGACGCATGAATACTGTAGCGCGCAGGATCGATTTCAGATACGTACCGTCGCCGTTGGCATTCGGAGAGTTGTTCTAGTTCGCTTGAAAACTAAAAATGTGTCAATGTTGATCTCGGTTTGAGGCAATAGTCCCCCAGCACCGCTTAATGTCGGTATTTGTACTTTTACTATTAGTATAAATAGACCAATCAGTACTTTTTTTTAAACAAATCAGAATGTCATGTAGCGCTTTGAATAATTATGCAATATTTATATATATGTCATCGTATTCATCACTTGTTTCACTATCCGTTTGTTTTGTCCGCGAACCTACGGCCAAAGGACTTGTATCTGCTTTTGTACGCCGGAGCTTGGCTGCTACAAGTGACAGAAAGAGCTGAAATTATGGTCGTGAGGTGATTCGTGACTGAAGTCCTTGGCTTGACGATGAATTCGTTTTAAAGTTTGAACAGGTCATTTGGATAGCTGTGGTGCATTAATTATGCGTGGTACCATGCTCCTGCCAGCAGCCAAGGCATGCTTTCAGACAATGGCGTGCTGTTTTTGCACATGATATCCCAGGACATACGAGGCATTTAGGCCTTGAAGTCGCCTGTTTAACTACAGAAGCCGACCGACGTCCACTTGCACGAACCGGGCGGGCACGTGCGCCCGGCGTGTCCAACAGTCGTTTGGTGTCTGTGCAGCCAGCCTCTGCTCTATACCAAATCACTGCGCTCTATGTCTGGTACGGAAAACCGATTAAACAGTCATTTGGTGGCTGGGACTTGTTTTCCTTCCGACACGTCAAATGTCAGAGTTCACCAGCTCACTGTCGGAGCCTGAGCCGATCCCTCATCTTTGGCCGGCTGATATGGTAGTCGTGTGACAAGCGGCGCCGACTGTTTGCTCCATTCCCCCACTTTGTCCGCGATCGGTGGTGCCGTCCCTGACGCCGGCCGTCGTAAACGTCCGAGTTCCGCCAGTATTGCCGCGCTCGTTAAACAGCGCCCGTTTGGACAGCGGCCGGCGCGCGGCGCCGCCGCCAAAATGTCGGGCTCGGTCCATTGTTCATTAAGCGGGTGGGCCGAGACAGTCAAACACGCCACATTGCAGCGGTGGCGCGTCGCTATGCGGTACACCGCCGGACGTGGCCTTTGCGGTGCCGGCGCAGCTGACGGGCCGCGGTAGTTCGGCGGGGCGGGGTCCCACCGCCGCCCCCCGCTATGTCGGCCGGCGCCTCGCGGCGGTCCCCTCGCCGTGGGGCTCCTGACGTCGCTGCTCCCAGACACATTGCAAGCTTGACCGACCTCTCGTCACCGACTCCGATCCGCGAGCCGCGTTCGTAGGCGCCGGTGTGAGTCAACACCAGCGCGCCGCGCCGGGCTGCCGGGTCGGGTGAGCCGCTCGTGGGGCCTCGGCCGGGACAGGCCGGGTCGGGTGCGCGGCTTATGAGGCCTCGGCTGGAGCAGGCCGGGTCGGGTATGGTGCTTATCGGGCCTCGGCCGGGACAGGCCGGGTCGGGTGCGCCGTTCATCAGGCCTCGGCTGGGACAGGCCGGGTCGGGTGCGCCGTTCATCAGGCCTCGGCTGGGACAGGCCGGGTCGGGTGCGCCGTTCATCAGGCCCCGGCTGGAACAGGCCGGGTCGGGTGCGCGGCTCATCAGGCCTCGGCTGGGACAGGCCGGGTGGGGTGCGCCGTTCATCAGGCCTCGGCCGGGACAGGCCGGGTCGGGTGCGCCGGTCATCAGGCCTTGGCTGGGACAGGCCGGGTCGGGTGCGCCGCTCATCAGGCCTCGGCCGGGACAGGCCGGGTCGGGTGCGCGGCTCATCAGGCCTCGGCTGGGACAGGCCGGGTCGGGTACGCGGCTCATCAGGCCTCGGCTGGGACAGGCCGGGTCGGGTGCGCCGCTCATCAGGCCTCGGCTGGGACAGGCCGGGTCGGGTGCGCCGCTCATCAGGCCTCGCGCCGCCGTTCGTCGCGTCCGGCTTCTGCGCCCATTCGGCTCGGGCGGCACGGCCAATAAAGCCGGGGTCGGCGCCGAATGGGCGAGGAACTACCGATCCAGGCACGGTCCGGCGACCGGGCCGCGCGCCGCCAGCCCCGGGGACCGGCCCGATGACCTCGGTCGGGGTCGGACGCGCCCGCCTCGAGCGGCGGTCGGCGCGACCTGAGCAGGTCAGAGGCTAAGTGGTCGGGACGCTTTACCCGCGATGGGGCCGAGGCCAGTGGCTCCATCGCATGAAGTCTCGATGTCACAGCGAGACTTAGGGTCGGACAGTGTCTTGTGCGATGACGCCGATTCACGGACCCGAAACCGGCATGATAACGGGAGAACATTGCAGGCAACACCTGACTTCGTTTGCGCTTAGTGTGCGTCACATCTGCGTCTGTCACCTTGTCGGCCTCTACTTTATATGTAACCCCAAGCTTTCCTTTTTTGAGAAATGACGCTTTTGATGTTCTGATTTATGCCCTCTATGTCGCACGTACTGTGCGAGCGCGCGAGCACAGCGCCGGGGCGCCCGTAACCCCAATGCTTGGCATCACCACCAAGGGCCCAGCTCGGTGGTCGAGGTGGGATTCCGTGACGGCGTCGCACTGTAGCTATGGTGGTGCTCGATGACAGTCTCATGCCCAGGTCCTGGTGGCAGGCTCACATCAAACGGCTGCGTAACAGCATGGGTCGGGCTAGGTCCGTGGACTGATACCAGCGGCCAGGGTGAAGCCTGTGATCCGTGTGACATCAGAGTCGGGGTCGGACCCCGTGATCGGGTTACGCCAGGGTTGAAGCCTGTGATACCGTGTGGGCACATCAGGAAGTCGGGGTCGGGACCCCGTGATCGGGTACGCCAGGTGAAACCTTGATACCGTGTGACTCAGAGTCGGGGGTCGGGCCCCCGTGATCAGGGTTACGCCAGGGTCAGGGTCATATGTCGGGTCCCCCCAGGGTCCGGGTCAAAGTCGGGGTAGGACCCCGTGACCGGGTTACGCCAGGGCAGGGTCAACGCCGGAGGTTACAACCGTACGCTGACGCTGGTGGGAGCAGGCTGCTGTTGGACAGTGTGCCGATGGGAGTGAGCCGCTGTCGGGCCGTGTGCCGATGGGAGTGAAGCCGCTGTCGGGGCCGTGTGCCGGATGGGAGTGAGCCGCTGTCGGGCCGTGTGGCCTGGGAGGCGGGGCCGCTGCTTAAAGTGTGCCGGTGGTAGCGGGCCACCATCGAGCCGTGTGCCGGTGGGAGCGGACCGCTGTCGGGCCCTGTGCCGAGGGAGCGAACCGCTGTCATCCGGTGTGCCGGGGGAGCGAACCACTGTCAGCCCGTGTGCCGGGGGAGCGAACCGCTGTCATCCCGCGTGCCGAGGGAGCAAACCGCTGTCATCCCGTGTGCCGAGGGAGCAAACCGCTGTCAGCCCGTGTGCCGGGGGAGCGAACCGCTGTCATCCCGTGTGCCGGGGGTGCGAACCGCTGTCATCCCGTGTGCCGGGGGAGCGAGCCGCTGTCGGGCCGTGTGCCTGGGAGCGGGCCGCTGCTTGAAGTGTGCCGGCGGCAGCGAGCCACCATCGAGCCGTGTGCCGATGGGAGCGGACCGTTGTCAGCCCGTGTGCCGGTGGGCTGGGCCGCTGTCAACCCGTGTACCGGGGAAGCGGACCACTATCAGCCCGTGTTCGGGTGGGATAGGGCCGCTGTCAGCCCGTGTACCGAGGAAGCGGGCCGCTGTTAGCCCGTGTGCCGGTGGGAGTGGGCCGCTGTCGGCCCGTGTGCCCTGGGAGCGGGCCACTGTCAGCCCGTGTGCCCCGGGAGCGGGCCACTGTCAGCCCGTGTGCCCTGGGAGCGGACCACTGTCAGCCCGTGTGCCCTGGGAGCGGGCCACTGTCAGCCCGTGTGCCGGTGGGAGCGGGCCGCTGTTGGGCCGCGTGATCGCCGCTCTCCATCTCTGGCCCGTCCGCCCCCGGCGGAGCACCGGTCCGGCCGTCGGACGTCACCGGTGCCGCCATGGCCGTATTTATGGCGCCCGGCCGCCCTCTCGCTGGCATGAGCCGCGCGTGTCCGCCGTTAAGAGGCTGCGGGCTGGAGGGCGCTCTCCACGTAATGGCACATCTCGCGTCCTCGTTGATCCTCCGAGGATCGCCCAAACTCGCGCCAGAGGGTGCTCTTCCACGTTATGGTCGACCTATCTCGGGTGATGATCTACGCGCCCACTGAACGCAGGGTAGAGATGAGTACGCAAGCAGAAGATAGTGCCGTTGGACCGCGGCCCAAACCAAACTTGCTCCGTTTTGCTAAGAGAGAAGAGGATTCGTATGCGGGAGGAATTCAACAGACCGAAACTGACTTCAGATGGCTATGCGGGAAATCGCAAGGTTCCCTCTCAGACTCATGCTTGACTGCTTGTGGAGTCGAAGTCCGCTCCAGTATCGAACAACTTTGCGGCGAGTCAAGATACGAATGACCGGTTTCAAATTTGTGTGAGTTCTAGTCGCGGATGAGCCCACCGCAATGACTGAAATCATCGATAAGTCGGCTGAAATAGCGAGCCGAGAGATCCTCTCAGATGGACAATAACTATACAAAACATAATGAACAGTGGTTTCCACTAGCTGTGTTCGTTTCATTGGTGTCAACATCGGACAACCTTGGTATCATCATCAGCTCATGACGTAACATGCGCTCTTACATATTAAACGATGATCGGGTAAAACCAAGTTTAATAAACAGGGACTTCATCGATGAAGTTTACAAGGCGATTTTTTGTGTGCACATTTAGGAGCATCGTACGTGGGTCCCAGGGGTGGAATTTTTCCAAATTAGTTAGAGGGAGGGGGGAGGGCGTAAACAGTGAAAGATGACTTAGTTCACCCCCAAAATATGCCAACATCAGGTGAATCCCAGATTTCGTCCACTTCCTTCCCAAAGTTGGGAGGACTGAAACCCAAGCTGGAGGGATATGGGGCTGAAGCCTTCCCCACCCCAAATGAATAGGAAACCACACCCCAGGTGTGACCAACCCAGTACGGCTTTGCCTGCAGAGTACAGCAACAGTTCGGATGGTGTCACCCTACAGGAAGCATTAGTTCTAACCCAGGCGCTTTGTCCCTATCCGGGGTTAATCAATTACATGTGATGCGCACTTGAACATCGACAATTTTAGCGTATTAAAACGATGCATTGACTTTTCAGATCTTACAAATCTTGAATCACTTCACGTTAAAGAGCGAAAACATCGCTAGAATCGCGGTTCAGCACATACTTTGCAAATTGTTGGATATAATTCTCTGGTTTCCCATGCGGCGCCCGAAAAGTTCTTCCGTGGTTTGGTTCAGTACTGTTTTCAAGCTGACCACTTTGCGTACACGTCGAAGTTTTGCTTGACTGTGCCTATAAGGAATTATGGGAACGTCTCACAACCCATGAATGATGCTTGCAACGTGATCTGGCAATATTTCGTAAATGTAGTCTTGTTTCCTTATTAGTGTATGATGTGTAATAAAATATTGCATATATCTGGCTAACTAGGGACATGTAAAGGCTTTGCAACCAAGTACCTCAAGACCCTGAACGCTCCGAAGTGCATCGCTCGTATGTCCTGTGGTGCGTACAAGAGAACACTTGAACTGTTTTACCGTTCCGTGATCAGATCAATGTTCGAGTTGGCTTCCTTTGTTTGTGAAGGCTTGTGAATCAGCCAAGCGCTCATTGAACGCAATATACCGTACTGCAGTTCGCATCACAACAGGAGCATTCAGGACCTCTCCGACGGCGAGCCCCCTTGTCTGTGTCCATGTGCCTCCTTTGGCCACGAGGAGGAAAATGTCAGGCATGACATAGGCCTGCAAGCTGGCCCTGTTCCCCGCCCACCCAACATACAAGTGAGTGAACATACCCCTACTCTTCCATCAATGTGGCTTTGGCACGAGCCATGATACTCGCTGGGAAGCTCCACAGGCCCGTACCTGGAAGCTCTCGCCACCAGCAGTGGATGTTCCACCTCGTCACTCGGGAAGAGGCGGGTGCCCCCAAACGAGGGATCATTAAAGCTGGTCGCATCACACCCGGAGCCAGAGAAGACTTATAGGGACGGATTGAGAGCAGACGCCGGAGTTGGATGTGCCTTCGTGCCGGGTCCTGTTCCGTAGTCTCCTGCTCGGTCTGGCCTCGCGGCAGTCTGAACATGGGACCTAGTAGCCATTTTTAAGCGCTGCGTTTCATAGAAGACCACAACGATGATCCGCATTTGATTTCACCGGGCCCCGGTATCAGCCTTCTGGCATTGCAGAATTTGTATCCATCACATCGAGTCATTTGGGATATTTTAACTCTGCACGGTGCGCTGGCCCCACCCGGCGAGCAGATGGTATTCTGCGGGAGCCCCAGCCACGTAGGCACAGCTGGTGATGAAGTGGCTGATGCTGCAGCGAAGTGACCACTCACGCAACCCGCATCCCCAACATGAGAGTCCCTGCAAACGACTTGTATGCGGTAGTAACTGCGCTCGTGTCCAGGCAGTGGCAAGCGAATTGGGATCCGCATTTTGCTAACAAACTGAGAGGCATAAGGTCCCGGTTGGGGCCATGGGCGTCCAGCTGTCGTAAGGTGAGGCGGGAGAAGTGGCACAATGACGCTTGAGATTAGACCGCACTTACACCATTCAACGATTGCTGCTATGTGGGGATGAACAACGGCCATACCCCAGCATTGGGGATCGTTACACCGTACGGCACGTCTTGATGAATTGTCCCCACTTCGCTTTGGAACCCTGCGTCATTTTAGACCAGGATCCGTGCGCCAGACGCTGTCTGGTAGCTTAGGAGATGACTCGAGTGTGATCATGGATGGCCATATTTTCCATCATTCTGGTGACGTGCGATTTCATGCGGTATATGTGCCGTAACCCTGTCACCTTCCTGTTAAGTAAGAAATAAGTTGC